CCTCAGCCTCAGCCTGCCTCAGCCTCAGCCTGCCTCAGCCTCAGCCTCAGCCTGCTTCAGCCTCAGCCTCAGTCTGCCTTCAGCCTCGGCCTCAGCCTCAGCCTGCCTCAGCCCCAGCCTGCATCAGCCTCAGCCTCAGCCTCAGCCTGCCTCAGCATCAGCCTGCCTCAGCCTCAGCCTCAGCCTGCCTCAGCCTCAGCCTCAGCCTGCTTCAGCCTCAGCCTCAGTCTGCCTTCAGCCTCGGCCTCAGCCTCAGCCTGCCTCAGCCTCAGCCTGCCTCGGCCGTAGCATCAGCCTGCCTCAGCATTCAAAATGTGGCCCGGGAATGGAGTTCTGGGAAATCGAAGAGCACGAAGTGGCCTACAGTTGGCTCCGGCTATTCAAAATGTGGCCCGGGAATGGAGTTCTGGGAAATAGAAGAGCACGAAGTGGCCTACAGTTGGCTCCGGGCATCCAACATGTGGCCCGGGAATGGAGTTCTGGGAAATGGAAGAGCACGAAGTGGCCTACAGTTGGCTCCGGGCATCCAAAATGTGGCCCGGGAATGGAGTTCTGGGAACTCGAAGAGCACGAAGTGTGTGACTGTTGCATCCGGCCCTCCAAAATGTGGCCCGGGAATGGAGTTCTGGGAACTCGAAGAGCACGAAGTGTGTCGAAGAGCACGAAGTGTTTGACTGTTGCATCCGGCCCTCCAGAATGTGGCCCGGGAATGGAGTTCTGGGAACTCGAAGAGCACGAAGTGTGTGACTGTTGCATTCGGCCCTCCAGAATGTGGCCTGGGAATGGAGTTCTGGGAAATCGAAGAGCACGAAGTGTGTGACTGTTGGCGAAAAACGAGCCCGGCACCTGCCGCCCGGCAACTCCCAACACCTGCCCGGACCCCCCTGTGGAGTGATCTGTGAGCTCTTTTGAGTCAACTAGAAACCTATCAGTCTTCGCTCTTAGGTAATAATGATATTATTCTTAATAATGGTACCCTTTAAAAATATGAGTATCATATGATCTGTATTATTAGTAGTAGTAGTAGTAGTATTACTACTATGATTATGAATATTGTTATTGGTAGTAGTAGTAGTAGTAGCAGTAATAGTAGTAGTAATATGAGTATTAGGATTACTAGTAGTAGTAGTAGTAGTAGTAGTAGTAGTAGTAATAGTAGTAGAAGTACTAGTATTACTAGTATTAGTGGCATTATTCGTCTGTTTAATATGTTGGTGTGCTTATGATGCTTATCCATAGTAGTATGGTTAAAAAGTAGTCGTATTGCCAGTATTATTAGTATGATTCGTATTCGGATTCGCATTGTTCTTCCTCTTAGTATCAGTGGTATTCTTCGTAGTAACATTAGAATAAGTATGAGTATTATTAGTATTCATATTATTATTAGTAGTATTATTACTAGGGTTAGTGCTCAGCTGAGTGGTGCTATGATTCGACGTCGCGTTCGCATTATTGTTCCTAGTATGCTTAGTCGTAGTCCTCTTATTTGTCGTATTGCTCTCATTGTAGTTTTCGCATTCGTCTTAGTATCCGTATTAATAAGATTGATAGTGTTCTGCATTAGTGGTATGATTCGTAGTCATATGAGTGTTCCTCTCATCATTCTTATGAGTAGCCTTACAGGTTTTAATGTTAGTGTTGTGTATCGTCGCCGCAGTCTTATTAGTATGCTTAGTGTTCTTATTAAAAATCGTATTCTTAAATATTAGTATTCGTCTTCTTCTTATTAGTATACTTACCCTTATGATGCTTATGAGTATTATTATTCGGATTCGTCTTCTTCTTAGTCGCCATATTCTTACTATTCCTCCTCCTCCTCGTCCTCCTCGTCCTCCTCCTCCTCCTCCTCCTCCTCCTCCTCCTCCTCCTCTTCCTCCTCCTCGTCCTCCTCCTCCTCATCCTCCTGCTCTTCCTCCTCCTCCTCCTCATCCTCCTCCTTCTCTCCTCCTCCTCCTCCTGCTCCTCCTCCTCATCCTCCCCCCGCATCCTCCCCCTCCTCCTCCTGCTCCTCCTCCTCCCCTCCTCCTCCACCTCCACCTCCTCCTCCTCCTCCTCCTCCTCCTCCTCCTCCTGTTCCTCCTCCTCCTCCTCCCCCTCCTCCTCCACCTCCTCTTCCTCCTCCTCATCCTCCCCTCCTCCTCCTCCTCCTCCTCCCTCCTCCTCTCCTCCTCCTCCTCCTCCTCCTCCTCTGCTCCTCCTCCTTCCTCCTCCTCCCTCCTCCCTCCCCCTCCTTTTCCGGTTTCTCCTCCTCCTCCTCCTCCTCCTCCTCCGCCTCCGCCGCCTCCTCCTCCTAGTATTAGCACTGGTATCCTTAGTGTTAGCCCTCTTATCAGTATTACTACTAGCGTTCGTAAAACCATTACTAGTATTATGAATATTAGTATTATTACTAGTATGAGTAGTAGCAAGATTGAAAGTACTATCATCACCATCATCATCATCATCATCATCATCATCATCATCATCATCATCATCATCATCATTCTCAGCATCACCACCATCAGCATCATCAACAACATCGTCATCATCATCAGCATCATCATCCTCGGTATAATCAGTAGTACTAGTAGTAGTAGTGTTAGTAGTAGTAGTAGTAGTAGTAGTAGTAGTAGTAATAGTAGTACTAGTAGTACTAGTAGTAGTAGTAGTAGTAGTAGTAGTAGTAGTAGTAGTAGTAGTAGCGTTCGTATTAATAGTAGCATGTCACTACGATTCTTCGTATTAGCATTGGTATCGCTACTGTTGGTGATGCTAGTAGTAGTGGAAATAATGTTAGTATTAAAAGTGGTACTACTACCAGTATTGGTGTTCGTGTTACTACTACTACTACTACTACTACTACTACTACTACTACTACTACTACTACTACTACTACTACTACTACTACTACTACTACGACTACCACTACTACGACTACTACTACTACCACTACTACTACTACTACTACTACTACTACTACTACTACTACTACTACTACTATACTACGACTACGACTACTACTACTACTACTACTACCTACTACTACTACGACTACTACTACTACTACTACTACTACTACTACTACCACTACTACTACTACTACTACTTACTAACTACTACTACTACTACTACTACTACGACTACTACTACTACGACTACTACCTACTACTACTACTACTAAAACTACGACTATGATTACTACGACGTCTAACTACACTACGACGACTCTCTACTACTACCAATACCACTACTACTACTACGACTACTACTACTACTACTACTACTACTACTACTACTACTACTACTACTACTACTACTACTACTACTACTACTACTACTACTACTACTACTACTACTACTACTACTACTACTACTACTACTACTACTACTACTACTACTACCACGACTATTTCCACTACTGCTACTACTACGGTGATATGGAAGATTGTCGATGGATCTTCTCAATCGCGGCTTCGCGAGGGGCGTAGCTCTAAGGCCAAGGGCGCTGGTTCGAAATAAAGCGGCAGCGGTGGGCAAGGGATGCAACACAAAACCCTTCGGGAGTGAGCTTGAATCACACTCTTCCAAGTCGCCGTCTCGGTCGGCCGTGGCCTCTGACAGGCCTGAGCGGGGACTATAGCAAACAAAACACTCGCCGGCAAAAACCACGAAGATAAGCAGGCAAACGGCTTGCAGTGTATAATATAGCATACAAGGTATACTCAGCAATGGCCAGGGTTCGATCGCGATGCGACAAAGCCCAGAAGAGGTATAGCCATCTTCTCAACATACTATGTGCGATCGTCACCACAACAAAAACTGTGCGCACTGAAACGAATGAAACTTGCAAGAAAACGCGGTTATACGTGTGGATCTTTATCCGGGTGTAAAAGCTGCGATTCGGAATACATAAATCTTGACCGGGCGTATAGTACTTGCAACGATGCGGAATACATAAATCTTGACCGGGCGTATTGTATGTGCAATAGGATATTTTCGGTCTGATCGGCCGAACTGCCGTCAAACCAGGCGGGGGTCACCTTTTCTTCGGGTTCGCCGGTTTGTCCACTAGATCTGATCCCCGCCAAACATCTCTGCCTGTGAGCTTCCGCCAACGGCCCTTGAGGTCATTCATCACACTCTCCGGGAAGATCGTGAAATCGGGATTTCCCAAATGAGAATGCCGAAGCAGCCACGAAGCGTGCTTCTTGCAGGTTTTGCAAGTGATGTATACACTATGCGGGTTGTGGCCGATGACCACATCATGATGATGAATGCCAATCAAGCAACTGATCATGTCTCTCGGCTGCACCGTCGGGGAAGATCCGTTCCACGACACAACACTGGCTGATGAGGCTGAAACGGAACTCGATTAACTCGTCACGGAAACCGCGGTTGGTGATGCAGGGGCCGAACTTCCCTGCAACTTTACTGATCTTGATCGTGCCCATCGCCGTGCTGATGCTGCAGCGTACGGTGATGGCGGCGCGCTGGCTGGTGGTGGTTCTGTCGGTGCCTGTGGCGGCGGCGGCTGCTGAATCGCAGCCGATGCTGCTGTACTTGATGCCTGTGCGCTGCTGAATACGTCCGCGTGGGACATCGTGATGTCACCATCGTGGTCACGATCCTCTGGAATCGCGGGTGGTATGTTGCGGCGTCGGCCGAGCGCGCGGCCGCCCCATCCAGGGTGCTCACCCATGGCCTTCGCCTCGGCGGCGATCTCTTCGTTGGCGATCGCGCTGTTCTGCCTCAGGATCGCCCAGAGCGCCGCGAAGATGCCGAAACCGATAGTCATGCCAGA